ATCTTTAAAAGTAGGAGTTCGGAAAAAAAATTCTTGGACAATATTGTCCTTAATTTTCCTAAATGTCACATTACAGTCATCCTTATTAATAAAATCCTATAAATAGATCTATAATGTATTATTTGTGATCCTATCCTAATTAATAAAAATATTTTTAATAAATTCTTAACAATCCAGAAGTTATAAACGATGTTCTTAAAAATCTAAAATTTATGAAAAGCACCATTATAGAAAATTACAATCAATCACTTAGAAATTAAAAAAATTAAAAATTTTAAAAAAATTCTTAAAACATCAACAATTACAAGCAACCCCTTATATAGCTACAAATTACAAATCACCATTTGTAAATTCTAAAAATTACAAACATCACGATCCTAAAATCTTAAAAGTTACAAAAACACCCGCAAGAATCAGAAAATTATTTAAAAAAATTCCTAAAGTCTAAATTTTTTGAACAACCTCCTGAATAATATAAAACTATAGCAAAAACCCTAATAATCTAAAAATTACTAACAACATCCTCACCAAAAATTCTAAAATTTATAAAAAACACCCAAAGAATATAAATTTTTTGAACAATCCCCTAAACAACATGAAATTATAGACAACACTGAAAATAGAAAAATTACAAATAACCCCTTTAAAAAAGCTTTATTTTTATAAAAATACCTCAAAAAATCCTTATAAAAAATTTTGAATAGTCCCATGATCAATCTATAATGACATGCAACACCCTAAAAATTTAAAAAAATCGTAGACTTATGAAAGTCTAAAGTTGCAAAAATCACCCAAAGGTGTAAAAAACTAAAAAAAACGAAAAAGAAAAAAAAAATTAAATAGCACCATAAAAGACTAAAATCTTTGATCAACACTTTGAATAATCAGAAAGTACCACTGGATATTTAAATTTTACAAACAACCTCCAACGAGTCTTGAAAAATACAAAAATTATGATTGTTTAATAAATTCTCTATGAAAGATTTTATCAAATACTTATAACTAAAAAACTAACTTTTATCAAATACTACTGAACTATCTAAATGACGTTAGAATGTTATCAATTGTTAAATTATAGTTGTCCAATAAATGTTCTATAAAAGATTTGTGTGAGACATCATATAATTTGGGACTTAAAACTCTATAGTGATAGAGCAAACAGATAAATAGCATTATCATAGTTTGCTTATGTTGACATTAGCGATCAAATTTAACTTGCATGATTTAAAGAAGAGACTTAGTCCTTTTAGACATGAAGTCGTTGTTCCAAAGGAAATGTCACCTCATACAAATAAGGAGTTAGAAAGAATGAAGTAACGGTCATATGCTTCTGCTGTTGGCAATCTTATATGTACAATATTACGTACTAGGTCAGATATTGCTCAATAAGTAATTAAAGTTAGTAGATATCAGTCCAATCCTAAAGAGGAACATTGAATTGCAGTTAAGCATATTCTTAAATATGAGCAAAACATTATTGTTTAGTGTTTGATGGCGATCCTTTAAAAGTTGAAGGATACATTGGTTTTAATTTCCAATCGGATCCTGTCAATAGGTAATGTATATCAGAGTTTGTCTTTGCATTAAATAATGAAGTTATCAGTTGAAGTAGTTGAAAGTAATAAACTATGTCTAATTATATAACTAAAATAGAATATTTTGCAGGTAGTAAAGCGACAAAAGAAGCAGTTTGGATTAAAAAAAATTTGGGCAAGAGTTAGGTGTTGTTCCTACTGTGGAATCTCCCGTCACCTTGCATTGTAACAACAGTGGAGAATTGCACAAGCTAGAAAGCCTAGGGCTCATCATAGATGGAAACACGTGGAAAGAAAGTACCGCTTGTATGAGAAATTAGCAGGAGAGAAGATATAGACATTACCCAATTTGCCTCTGTCGGCAAACCCATTGACTAAAGCTTTGAGCCAAAAGGTAGTTGCGAAAATATATTGACAAATTGATTTAAAGTTTATTTTGGATTGGCTTTGAGCACAAGTGGGAGACAGAAAGATGTATGCTCTACAAAGCTAATAAATGTATTATATGATAATGAATAAGAGTTTATATGCATACTTGCACAAAAACCCTAAAAAATATGAAAATTTTGAACAATCTCCTGAGTAACATGAAATTATAGGCAGAATTATGAAATTTAAAAATTACTCACAACCTCTTCACAGAAAATTTAGAAAGCTACAAAAATCACCATAAAATTAAGATAATTTTGAATAGTCCCCTAAATGACTTGAAATTATACACAACACTCTAAAAATTTTAAAAATACAAACAACCCATCTAATAATAATGAAAAACACCTCAATGAATCCAAAATAAAAACAAACAACTTGTAACCTAGAAATTTTTGAATAGTTCCTTGAACAATATGTAATCACATATAGCACTCTAAAAATTTAAAAATTATAAATAGACTTCCAAAAAATTTAAGTTGTAGAAAACACCTTGAAAATAGTAAAAATAAAAAATAACCTGAAAACCTAAAATCTTCTATCAGCCCTTTGAACAATCTAAAACTACAAACAACCACTGAATATTCTAAAATTATAAATAACCTCAAAAACAATTTTTTAATTACAAGAAACATCGTAAAAATTTGATTAACCCTGCCCACAATCTAAAGTTACCAAAGCCCCCTCCCCCTCCCCCCCCCCCCCCCCCACACACACACAAAAAAAGAAGTTTGGCAAATACCCTATGAAAATATTAAAAAACCAAATAATCATTTAAAAAATAAAAATTATAAATAACTCCATAAAAATTAAAATTTGTAAACAGGCTCCTAGAAAAGCAAACAAATTCCGAACAATCGTCCTAAAATATGAAAGTACTAAAATAACTTTAGGATTAAAAATTCTATAATTAAAATTCTAACGATTCCTAAATAATGAATTGAGATTAATTATAAAATTTTAAATTCTAATAATTTATTGAATCCAAACATAAACTTAATGTAATTTTTTAAAAACACAAGACATTTTAAGAGGTTTGAATGAAACCCCTTTAAACTTCATTATCTTTGATCAAAAGATGACAAATGCTACAAGATTTCAAGGGAAGGTTTTGTTGGGTAAATTATATTTCTACATTATCTCTTTGTGATAATAGATTCTTTTAAAATTACTCTCATTGCATAAACTATATGCATTTGCTTTTTCCTTGGACATTTCTCTATATTTGTCCGACAAGATTTTTGCTATAATGAAATGATATCTCTCAAAGTTTAAAAACTTTCCTAAATAGGTCAAGGCTTTGATGCCTTATGTTTTCTAAGGTAGATGTCAATTTTCTTAAATAATATTGTTGTCATTTAGGGGCAGTTTGGTTTGTTTTTTAACTCGGTGGAAAAGTTTTACACCGCCTCCACATCAGATTTTTCGTGGCCACGTTTTACACCGCCTCCACATCAGATTTTTCGTGGCCACGTAGGATATAAGCTTTCCGTCGGTTTTTTTTCCCATCTTTGGTTCGCTAGGGTTGAAGAAGGGAAACTTGGTGAAAATCGCCGCCACATCAGATTTTTTTTCTCTTACCTAATTCATTCCTCAACCTCGTGAAATCGACGAAAACTGCAGCTCATATTGAAAATCATATTAGTTTTGTCATTTGTAATTATTAATATATTGATATATAATATTTATTATTTTTAAACTGATGTTTGGATCATGTAACTAATTTTCTTTGTAGGTCACATGTGAATTGTGTCAAGTATGAATTTAATATGGATTTTTTATCGCATTAGTTGTTATGCATTTGCTATATATCATAAAAGTTCTTTGGATGCCTGTTAGATCAAAGTTCTAAAATTGCAAGCTATAATTTTTTATATGTTTGTTAGATCAAAATTCTTAAATTTGCAAGACATAGCTAAATTTAATGCATTATCAAGTTTGATATCAGTCAACAAAATGTTATCATCATCAAGTAGAAGTTTAAAAACATGATCTTATTTCATGCTATAAATTATGTGGCAGCCCTGAACTATTACACAATGACTTATAGTGAAGACATAAATCTGTTTCTAAAGGAAAAAAGACATAAATTCAAACAAAATAATTAAATTATTTTACCAGTTTGTGCATCCAACGTAGTTATTGTTAAGGGTAATTGTTATTTGGGGCTAAATATCAGAAAATCTCCTTTTGAGGCAACTATTAGATAACTCAACATACTTTTCAAAATATTAGTGATTATCAAAAAAATCTCCCCTTAACTTTCATATTTTACCAGAAGACTCCCCTAAAAAATGTGAACCATAATTTTTAATAGAAAATATTCTCCCTGCATAAATTTACCCACCCATTGAAAATTCATGGTTAACACAGTTAGAGGGATTTTTGATAGAATATTAAAGTTCTGGGTTTCATGATACCTACACCTAATTTTTTTCCCCTTTGAAAGTTATGGTTTTTTACATTTAGCCTTAATTTGATTATATTAGCTAAAATGCAAAATATGCTAAAAATAAAGGAGTAGCTTATACGTTTGGATTGAAGAGCGTTCTAATAACGAGTTGTAACTGCATTGTGTTGTAAGTGCATTTCTTGCTCCAACTATTTCTAACTGAAGAAATTTTCAAAATCGCCCCAACAGAATTTTTTTAAAAGAAATCGACCCCATTCACTTTTAATTATAGAAATCGGTCTATTTTGAGTTAATTACGGTACTAATTAGTCGGGGTTGCCAACCCCGACTAATTAGCAGCCGTAAACCTTCCCCGCTCCTTGACCCCGCTTGTAATTAGGCTACTAATTAGTCGGGGTTGGCAACCCCGACTAATTAGTACCATAATTAACTCAAAGTGGGTCGATTTCTATAATAAAAAGTGAATGTAGTCTATTTCTTAAAAAAAATTCTGTTGAGGTGTTTTTGAAAATTTCTTCTTTCTAACTAGACAAACACCAACATGCATCATAAATTCATCATTCTAAAAGATACACAAAAACTATATATCATTTTTCATGTCATACTCTAATATAGCAGGGAGGAAAACGCAAAAAGACATTAGCGAAACGCCTCCACAGCCTCAACTAAGATCTCGAAATGGTTCTCTTGTAAATATCTACAACTCTCGGCCCAATCTCCCAGATCCCATCATCTTAACCATCAGGTATCTCCATATTCTTCCGTATGCATAAATACCCTCCTCCTGAGCCTTCAGCTTCTCCCCTTAAACAAAAAAGAACAACTAAAAAAAAAAAAAATACAAAACGAAGCCCCATTCTCAATCTGTAATGGCGATCTTCAGCGATCAAGAAACCCTAAATCTCTCCCCAAACCACCAGTCTTCTCTCCGACGGCGGATCCCCCCTGATTCTCCGGTCGCCGAGGTGCTGACGACGGACTCGGGCGACGATTCGAGCCCTGGGACGAGCTCCGATGCCGATAACAGAGATCGAGTCGAGATAAGCGACAAAGGAGAGAAGAAGAAGGAGAATCCCTCGGTGTTCAACGCCGCCGGCGATGGATTGAAGTTCGTTTACCGTGCGTCGACGCCGGCGCATCGGAGGATTAAGGAGAGCCCGCTGAGCTCCGATGCAATCTTCAAGCAGGTGAGATTTATTGTTCTTGATTCGAGTTTCTTGTGAAGTTTCTAAGTAAAGTTGGAATCTTTTTGTTGTGAAAATTGAACCTTGAAGGTTACTACTGTAAAGTTACATGATTGCTTTCCGTAGAAAGAAATCGTTTATTTTAAGAAGTTAGAAGAACATGGAATGGAATGTTTGACTGACCAAAATTAATAAATACATTATTGTACAAAAAGAAGTGAGGTAGCGTGCAGAAGGTGAGGCTAATTGTAGGTTTCTCACGGGGACTGTTTCCGTTGCGAGAATCAACTTTAGAAGAAGCTCTTAATGCGCAAACTAGTTTTCTACCCATTTGCATGGGAATTTGAGAGAGATGGTTGTGTGACTATAGGTTTGGAAAGAGAAAATCGAGGAGAGAGTGAAATGCCATATTTATGGGCAAAATTGAATTTTGATAGGATTTGCTTAGATTATGATGGATGACATAGGAAATTGAAATGAAAGGTTTAATAGTTGGAAGGTGGATACTACTTCCAAAAGATAGACTAAGCCAAATGTTGCTTGTCGTATTCCTGCAACCAATGTCAGCTTTTTTGGTATAGGGTAACACATTTGCTTTCCGAAGCCTGTTCTTATGCTATTGGAAGTTAATATAATCAAATTTTGCTGCCTGTGTCAGTGACATTTGTGGTCATATATTTAATTAACTGTGTCCCTTTATTATCTAAATTGCAGTACTCTCCCAATAGAAAAAAAAAGTAGACAATGTGTTAAGCATAATTAATTTGTCAGAGTGACGCAAACCCATAATTACGCATAAGCGCACATCCGTAAGAAGAAGACATTGTAATGTGGTTTAGCTGACCAAGTTCAGCCAACATCCACCGGGCACCATATGAGAAATACACTGTATGAAGAAGATTACATTAACTACAAGAGAGATCAATCATTTCACGGAATACCATCTCTCCTGTCGTATCTTTTTCAAAGTCCTAGTCAATTTTCTCCACCATGTTTGAGTAGTTATAGTTCTAATCAAGCCTTGGCATTATCTGTATGTAACCGGAAATAACTCAATAAGACATAACTCTGACACCGGCAATTGCAATTTATTTAGATATTGTTGTGCTCTTTCCATTTGTCCACAGTTATTTGTGCTTGCTCAAGGCATCAGTGCATGCTTTCTTTCGTGGTAGTTTGATTTTAGGTATTATTTTTTGTCTAGTGGTTAAAGATTTACTTAGGTTTCAGTTTCTTGTAACCACCAAATCTATTTTTCTCGGAATCCCCTAGAAACTTACCTTTCTTGTTATTTATTCTCCCTTTTTCTCCTCTTTGCCAATCAAACGGGATTTTTTAGTCGTTTTTTGGCCTTATGCTTATTTTTTCACATTTTCAGAAATATAACAACATTTCAATAATAATCAAACGCGTTTTTAAGTCATTAGTGCTTTTTCCCATCAAAATGTGGGAATTAAAGTATCATGTTATACTGAAAAGGCTTGTACAGAAAAACTAGCCAAAACTGCTCTAATATAGTGAAGGAAGTATTAAACGTAAAAGATGATACAATTTTCTTGGAAACAAATTTATTCTCCAATTTTCTACAGTGATTTATTAGTGGGTTCTGTTACCAAATTATATAAGGAGGATACAACAGTTGAAAAGTACGGCCAATTTCATGTGAGAGTGTTGAGGTCAAAGTCTTTTCTGCAGATTTCTCATTATAATATATGCTAGAATTTCTTGCAAACAAATTCCTTGACAAATATTCTAGAAATGATTTATCAGTACGTTCATTGATTGATGTATCCTTGATATGTCAATGGCATGTAGGACATTGATACGACTTAGAAGTAGAAGGAAAACTGAAAAGTAATGTGAGTGCTGATGTCAGCCCTGGGCCCACGGGTCCGTTGGCGCGTGCAACCTTTGGGACCCACCAAAAGCAACGTGATGTTGGCTTAAATCTACCGTCAAAATGCTAGCTCTAATTGTTCTTAGGTCTTGGACTTTTCTCTATTTAAACCACTAACAATTCTTCACACTAGTTCATATGGGACTAAAGTGAAGGTGACATAATGCTAACAGAGCAGTTCCCAGCCTGAAGTGTGGAACTAAGTACTATACGTGGCCATTGTTTTAAATATCCCCGACATGACCTGATATATCCCCCGATATATCCTTTTACAAGACTTGCCGCAACCGATATGGTCTTTAAATATCTTTTACCGCTTTTTGGCTATTTTGAGTGATAAATCCCCGATATGGCCGATATATTAGATCTTTAAATATCTTTTACCGCTTTTTGGCTATTTTGAGTGATAAATCCCCGATATGGCCGATATATTAGCCGATATGTGGACTGATAAATCCCCGATATGGCCGATATATTAGCCGATATGTGGACCAATATATCTTTTTATATAGCTTATTATAAAATAACATACCGTGTTTGGAATTTTTGGGCGAGATCAAGATTTCCCTATTATATCAAATGACATTTTGCCCTAAAAAAACAGATCGAATGTTGCAACGTTGCTTTACACTTTTGTTTATTTTAGAAGGTTGATTAGTGATCCTAAACATATATTATTTGCAACGTTGCTTTACACTTTTGTTTATTTTAGAAGGTTGATTAGTGATCCTAAACATATATTATTCATGTTTTGTATGCTTAAATTTCATTACATATGTTGAGATTATATTTTTAATGCATTATACTATGTATGCAAACATTCATTATGGCATTCTGATATTTACCACATATCCTTGTTATTTCCCCGATATCCGCAATTCGATATGAATTTTAGTCATCCGATATTTTCCCGATATCCGATATTTAAAACCTTGTACGTGGCTAAGTGCTACACCGTGTGATGCGGTGGGAGCCACCTTTAGAACCCGTAGGAGCCACCTCTGAAATCCATATCGTCTGGAAAGTGACATTAGGATGTGCCAATTGTCATGTCGTGATGACGAGGACGTCGTCTTTGTAAGGTGGGATGATTGTGACACACTCACTTTAGTCCCACATGGACTAGTGTGAAGAATTGTTAGTGGTTTTAAATAGAGAAAAGCCCAAGGCCTAAGAACAATTAGTGCTAGCATTTTGGCGGTGGATTTAAGTCAACATCGAGTTACTCTTGGTGGGTCTCACGGCTTGCACGCGCCAACGGGCCCGTGGGCCCGGGGCATGACAGCTGAGGCTAAGCCCTTTTTTATAGGTCTCATTTAATGCATGTTCAGTAACAATCACCATGTTGGCTGTTAATTGCAGACCCGTTAATTTGGTAGTATCACTAGAGGAGTTGGAGTTGTAGAGAATTTATGGAGGGTATGTGCAATGGCTAGGATGACAGAGATCTTCATGATGTCTAGTTTATATGGAGGGTATGTACAATTGCTAGAATGTCAAAATCGACATGCTAATCTATTTTACTTTTATGATAACAAGATAATAGTTTGTAGTTCAACTTTGTGGATTGGTTTATGAGTGCTTCCTGGTACTTGATCATATGCTTATGTCAGTGACATTAAAGAACTTGACATGTGTTAAAAGTATATTGAAAACTGAAAACCAAAGCCTAATTCCAACAAGAGCTTGAGGCTAAGTCCTGTTTTATATATCTCATGTAAGTGCATGTTCACGAACGATCACCATGTTTCCTGTTAACTAAAGCACCTTAAATTTGATTGGGGGCATATGCAAAGGAGAAGTTGGATTTTCGGAGAAGATATGGAGATTACATGCAATTGCTTGGAAGATTAAGAAATATTTATGCTACTCTACTTTACTTTATTGGAAGAAATCTAAGGACGTGAGCCGATATATACCTGAATAGAATGTGTGAAACCTTTAGTTGTCAAAACATGTTAGAAGAATACAAGAACGATGAATGTGCAACCATCTCTTTATTAGGCACATTTCTTTCTTTTATTGCTGTCACACAGTTGTTTACTAAAGGGATCTTTTCCTGTACTAATTTTAAAATTCATGGCAGAGTCATGCAGGTCTCTTCAACCTCTGTATAGTAGTGCTTATTGCGGTAAATAGCAGGCTCATCATTGAGAATCTAATGAAGGTTTGACTTTCCTCTCTTGTCTCACCGATATTGACTTTCTTCTAGTTGTAATATGTATAGCGTGATAGAAATATTTCTTAGGTAAATAGCAATCTCATATGGGCATTTCATTTATCTGTCGCTAAAGATATCCTTTTGTACTATGTTGCAGTATGGCTTGTTAATAAGAACTGGGTTTTGGTTCAGTTCAACATCATTGAGAGATTGGCCTCTATTTATGTGCTGGTAATTTTTTCTTCGTGTTTGATTTTGATTATCCATTCCATTAAATTCTATGCTCTCATTTCCTTCCCCATACCTAACACATCTGTCTACAGCCTCACTCTGCCTGTTTTTCCGCTTTGTGCATTTATTGTTGAGAAGCTGGCCTGGCGCAAATTAATCTCTGAATCTGTGAGTTCATGATCTATTTTCAAGCTTTCTACATCCCCTAATTACTAGCAATAAGTTAATCTAACTTTCAGAAGTGCAACTCATCAAGGTTTCTTTAAGCTATTTGGTGACTAGCGTTGTAATAATTAATGTAGGCAGCTAATAGTATGATCAAAATGCCAGGGACATCTAGTAGAGATGATCATATACCTGTTCTCATATGTGCTGTGTGCTTTATGACATTAGGTGATCATAGAAAACACTCATTAGGTCTAGATTTCTGGAGAGAAGAGGATGCATGGGTGTGTGCCTGTGACAGGAGAGGGAGGCCACGGGTTCAAGGCTTGATAAATTTGAAACAAAGAAAGGAATTTCCTCCTGTAAAGGAGGTGGTGAGCTTCCCCTTTAGCTTTTCTAACAAAAAACTAAAAATAAATTAAAATTAAAAAAAAAGAGAAAAAGGGGAAAAACATTTGTGAAAACAATGCTAGCAATCAGACAACAGGACCAAGAGCCCAGACCCAAGAAAACTGTCTGCTTGCTGATTTTTCTGTTCTTCAACCAAATGCATTAAAAAATAAGTTTTGATTTTTTTAATGGATTGTTTTTATATTCCATACCAGAGGTGGCATCAGATGCACACTTCCATCAGCAAAACTTGGGAGCCTATTTGATTCTTTAAGAGTTTCTACTTCTTTTGTTTTGTTTTGAATTAAAAGAATACTTATCAGGATCCTCTGAAATGCAACAGTTTCACTACAAGCTTGTGTCTCTTTAACAGTTGTTAATGAAGTGTGGTTTTGGAATGAACTGTTTATGCACCTATAACGCTCATATCTGTTAATATGTGCTTATATCACTTAGTCTTTCAATTATCAGTGATGAGTAACCTCGTTTGTTCATTAATAGTTGCTTAGTCCTTCATATTTACTTACAAATGTCCAATACCATTGTTTGCAGTTTGTCATCTCACTTCATGTAATCATTACAACAGCTGAAATCTTGTATCCAGTTTTTGTGATTCTCAGGTAATTCTCTTTTATTACACAGTTGACAGTTGATTATGCTAAAGCATCAGTTTCTTTTATTAGACGGCAGGTTCTACCCTGTGGCACTAAAGATTCTGATATTTAGTTAGCCACAGACCACCACATATTACTAACTGTTTATATGTTGTTTGGATTTAGAGATGTATGGTTCTAAAATGTAAAATTTTCAAGTAACATGAGAAAGCATTAATTGAAGCTTATATGTTTGCACAACCGTCACCCGGTCATGTGGAACCAAAAGACTTACTTTATTACAGTGAATATACAATTTTTGTCAGGCTGGATGATCATCTTTTCTTGTGACCAACTGGTATGAGCCCATATTACTGCATGAAGCAACAGCAGTAACAATGACATCGACAATCCTTTATCTTGAGCATTTTCCAGTACAGGACTAGTGCGCATGTGTTCTTTTCTCGTCAGGAATCATATAAACACCCTCAAAGTTGTTCAAATCATTAGACATGATGACATAGTGATGATATCTAGTCTAAAATCCTAGTTGCTGGAACTACAGTAGTGGTCATGTTGTTGCATACAAAGCTTCAAAACTTTATTCCTTTACTACTGAGTTAAACAATTATTCGTAAGTCATAACTATGAAAAGGAGCATATATAGTGAAAAACACAACATTTATTTTTATGCTCAACTGTACCCATATCCATATTCCAAGAAAGTTAAAAACATAATTCATGATCCTATCACTCACAATATTACACCTACTTTGTACAAGTTCAAATACATTACACGTTGATACAGTTACGACTTCCAGGGTAACTCAAGTCTATTCACAAAAAAATTACTTCATTCTTTATACATCTATACTACTTCAATTGAATACGCTAACGGTCAAATGTTGACGAGCAGTCAATGTCCTAGCTCTAACTTCCTCACTAATGTTCCAAGTCGTACAACAACAAGAAGATGAAGAAGAAAGCCTTTATCCTAAATGTTTAGGGTCGGCTACATGAATCCTATTTTTTCATTCCTTTCTATTATATTTATGGGTCATCTCCTCTGTTAAGTTAACCATTACCATATCCTTCTTAATTGCTCCCAACAAGTTCTTTTAGGTCTTTTACTAAAGTTTGCTCACAATTCATAATACTAGATAAAGTTACAAATTTAAGCTCTCATACAAAATCAATCTGTAAAGTGTTGACCTTAAAAGAGATGGAGGGGAGCGGTGTGAAACGGAAAAAGACATGTATGCTCACGTGGGAATATAATGTGAAAATATATTTTGAAACCGTTGGATGAACATAAACTTAATCGTGGCAATGGAAAACATAAATTAATTTAAAATTATATCACAGTATGGTTATGGACCGTTATGGTAATGTGTAAGAATAATTTGGAGGGAAGAATCTAGTTCTCAAACTTTACATTTAAGTAGTTAAGGAGCTGCATCTTGACCTTTTTTCCTTCTTTTAGTTTTCCCCTGTATACTTAATGAGCTTATAATGACTCAAATATGATTTTTTATGAATTCATATCAAATTAGACCTGAGTGTTCCTATCCAGAAAAAATCAAACCCTAACTCTGAAGACCAGAAGTAACTTCTTGGTGGTCAAACTGTGCCGATTTCTTATTTTGTCCTGTCTTCCTAGTATCAAACATCTTCTTCTCTGTCCCCTTTTCCTTTTCTCTATTTTCCAATTCCTTTACCTTCTTTTCGATAGATTTAATAGGCAATGAAATAGTGAGAAACAAAAACATAACAAGATGGAAAACAGCCGGTGTTCCTTTTTCTTTAAAGTTCATTTTTTTTCTTTTGCACAAAAGTTTATGTTTTCAATAGTGGCACTTAAGTTCTACTCAATTTTTTTTCTTTTGCACAGCCGGTGTTCATTTTCCTTTTTCTTTTGCACAAAAGTGTATGCTTATAATGACTCAAATATGATTTTTTATGAATTCATATCAAGTTAGAGCTGAGAGTTCCTATCCCGAGAAAATCAAACCCTAACTTTGAAGACCAGAAGTAACTTCTTGGTGGTCAAACTGTGTTGATTTCTTATGTCGGCATGTCTTTCCCTTATCAAACATCAACTTTCTGTCTCCTTTTCCTTTTCTCTCTTTTCCAATTCCTTTACCTTCTTTTTGATAGATTTAATAGGCAATGAAATAGTGAGAAACAAAAACATAACAAGATGGAAAACAGCCAGTGTTCCTTTTTTTAAGTTCATTTTTTTTCTTTTGCACAAAAGTGTATGTTTTCAATAGTGGCACTTAAGTACTACTTAATTTTGCTTATTGGTACCAAATGACTTTACAGCATTGAATTCACACTTACACCCGTAAATGTATTTTGTTTATTACCAAAGTATTAAAAAGGTTTTGAAGTAATAACCCTTTCCTTAGTTTCAATGAGAGGTACTGTCTCGAGTCCCATAGTTAATTTATCTAAAATTTAACTGTATTGATAATCAAACTAGTATGCAAAGTTCAAGTTATTACACCATTTCTCTCTCTGAAATTAACAAGCGGCATAGCCCTTTTACAGACTAGAGAAGATTGTAAGTCAATACATATATTGAATCTATCTAAGTTTAATCTAAAGTTTTCATCTGTAGAATGTCTGACTTACCATGCTTCAGGTGCATAACTGCATATAAATTATGATTTTGTTTGAAAGAATTCTCCACTTTGATAAACCACCACATTATGTCTGTTTTGTTGATTTGAAGCAATGCATATTTCTTTTTCACCGTATTGCAAAATTTGCACAAGGTTGATGCGATACTGGAAGTGAAGCTTTATTTGTTCATTAGCAGTTGGTCTCTATATTGACCAAATGATCTTTTCCCCTTGACCACAAATGGATCAGACCGTTGTGGTGACAAAGAGGTACTTTTGGTTGTCTCAATTGCTCTTTACATGACGACAGAGTCTCTTGAAGCACTTCTCTGCTTGGACTATCTTTCTTTACATAACTCTGTGCTTAGTTAAACTCTTTTCCTATTCATGGGTCATGGCATGATCAACTGAATAGCTACTGTTGTTGTTTTTCTTCTTGTTACCCTCAGCCTGTGAATTATAGAACATCGGACAGACATGCCTTTAGCTGCTTGCTATGCATACATAATCCTGGACTAGTTTTAGACATATGCAGCTTAATTGTTGAATAATGTATACTGGGGATACATTTCCCTTAATTACATTTCAATACTGTAAGTATACTTTGAATTTCATTTTTTTGTAACCAATATATATTTCTCACGTCTCACAGGTGTGATTCTGCGGTCCTATCTGGCCTCACCTTGATGCTTTTTGCCAGCATTGTTTGGTTAAAGCTTGTGTCATTTGCGCACACAAATTATGACTTGAGGACATTGCCAAACTCCATTGTTAAGGTACAGTTTTTCTGGATGTGGATCTACAACTTCAAGTCTTTTCATGTTGTGAATGATCTTCTTATGCCCTGATGATTTTTTTTTGCTGCAAATTGGCATAAGAAAGTTACTGAGTATGCATAACATGTGATTGGATGAATGTATTGTTCCACTCAGATGATTGATTTGAATTTGCAATTGGGTTATACATAATATTTCAACTGCTGTAAGAGTTATTTATAAAAAGGTAACTATTTTCCCTATTCGTTTGTTATGCGAGGAATAATGCTAGATATTAGGTGAGGGTTTATCATGTGAACCTTCTGGATTATCTTGTCCGTTGCCTCTTATTTGATTTGATACTGTTCAGTAGGTTAGAACATATTGTGTAGCATATCATAGTAGCAACTTGAAGGATCAGTCTTAAGGGACACGATTTTCATCCGCTTTTCTTTAAGTTCGAACTGACATAAATTTTAATGCAAACATTGGTCATAGGTGTATCACCGAAGTAATGATAAGAAAATGTACTAAGACACACACACACACACAAAGAAAAGAAAGAAAAGAAAAAATTACCAACTTCTGCAACAAAAAGGAACTCCCAAAATAACTACTAATCAGTATTTTTTGTAACTGACTTAATATGTTGTAGTCTTTTCAAACCTAAAACCCAATACCTCTGTTATCAGGACTGTTGGTAACCATTTCTCCTTGATCGGGGTTTGATCCAATATTTCATATTGTGATCGATGTGTCACACGGCATGTACTATTTTACATGTGGAACAGTGGAAGACAATGCATTTAACAAGGAATAATATATATTTACTTTGGATTTTTAAATTTACTGCCTTCTTCACTTTGGTGGTGTTATTAACTATGCTGGTAACTAGTGCTCCAAAAGATTATGCAGCAGCAATGTGGGATCATGGACAAATAGTCACTAGTATACAGTAATATCTCATAGTTCAAAATTTTGGTCGTCAGGACAATAGAAAAGAGTGAGTGGATACATAATTCTTGCATCTGATTTGTTTAGAATAATCTCTTATTTTGATAATTGACTGTGGCGGTGCAGGTGATTCTGGATGCCTTAGCAAGTAGGAAATTTGTCCTAAGGCTCTCACTGATATGTGCCATCTAGTTAAGGGATATTCTTTTGGAGGGCGCATTGCCGACATTTGGAACTGTCATGAACACTGCTTTTGGGAATTTCAGATGCACTGGAAAGCATAAGAAAATTCTTAAACAAAACTTATCACAACCCATTTGTGAAGTTTAAATTCAAACCTATGTTTCTTTGGTAGTTGGATCTCTTTGACATATCAATTTGATGAACATCAAATTAGATCAAATCCACCACCAAGCCTATTTTGCAGAACATTTATTTTGTTTTACTTCTAGACCACTTATCAATCTTATGAAGCAAATGTCAACTATTTCCATTATACATGATCAGCTTCTGCTTTGAGCAGGCTTGGCCGTAATAAATCTCCAAACCCTATAGTCTTGACTCTATATTTTTAGCACTCAGAACTGATATACTGTTGTACTAGGAGAATTCTGCTGTGACGAAATCTCAATTGTTATCTCATCGGCTCAAGTCTGATTACGGAGCCCAGTTTGAACGCTCTAGTCTGATTAGGGAGCTCAGTTTGAACACCTTGCATATAGTATATTTAGACCTGCACCAAACTCAATCATTGATGGTATTTCCTTTGTCGTCTAGTGATTTCAGTCCCATCAGGTTGAGTCTATTATTCATTATCTGGATATGAGTACCTGTTATGTCACATCCTTTAGCGGGATATAGTCTTCTGCTAAGTTGTGTTAAAGCCTGGATAAATACCTTTTTGTCCATGATTGGTGAAATTGAGCTCTCCCCCCATTGTAGAATATATCATACCCTTCATTTCATTACCAATCATCTCCTTCTAAAGCTTTGGAAAGTGATATCTAGCCTATGAGCAAAAATTGTATTTATATCTTTTGGAATGAAAATATTAAAGTTAAATAGGAGCAGAAAAAGACATAATGTTGTTTCTTTCATACTGCAGTTGCATTCAATCTATGTAAGCTATTTAGGTATCCAATGATTTCCTGATGATTTACGTAGAGATAATAAGATGAATAACCACTTCATACTATCTAATTAGGGGCTGTTTGTTTGCCTAAAAAAAGAGGGAAATCAAAGAAAAGGAAACCTATTTCTAAGAAAAATAGGTTTTGGGATTTTATGGTTGGCTAAAAAAAGAAGGAAATCAAAGAATGGGAGATGAGATGATGTTAGTTGTCACCTTATTATTGGATGATGTGAGTGATTTTTTAAGAAAGGTTTTTTTGAGGTTGTTTGGTTGGCGAAAAAAAATAAAGAAATAGATTATAAGAAACCTATTTCCTATAATAGGTTCTTTTCTTTTGTTTGGTTCATTCTTAAAAATAAGAAAATAGATGAGATGAGATGAGTTGTCATTATATTATTGGATGATGTGACCCACACTTAAGGAAATCGTTTTCCTAGGTTTTTTGGAGGAAATGGGTGGAAATGAAATGTTAATGAGATGAGATGAGTTGTCACCATCTTATTGGATGTGTTTGTTTGCCTAAAAAAAGAGGGAAATCAAAGAAAAGGAAACCTATTTCTAAGAAAAATAGGTTTTGGGATTTTATGGTTGGCTAAAAAAAGAAGGAAATCAAAGAATGGGAGATGAGATGATGTTAGTTGTCACCTTATTATTGGATGATGTGAGTGATTTTTTAAGAAAGGTTTTTTTGAGGTTGTTTGGTTGGCGAAAAAAAATAAAGAAATAGATTATAAGAAACCTATTTCCTATAATAGGTTCTTTTCTTTTGTTTGGTTCATTCTTAAAAATAAGAAAATAGATGAGATGAGATGAGTTGTCATTATATTATTGGATGATGTGACCCACACTTAAGGAAATCGTTTTCCTAGGTTTTTTGGAGGAAATGGGTGGAAATGAAATGTTAATGAGATGAGATGAGTTGTCACCATCTTATTGGATGATGTGAGTGATTTGAAATGATGAGATGAGATGAGTTGAGTGATGTTGTGGATGAGTTGTTGGATGAAAATAATATTTTATTGGATGAGTTGTTGAAATAATATTTTATTGGATGAGTTGGATGAAAATAATATTTTATTGGATGTTGTGGGTGAGTTTTAGTAATGGAAACGGATGAAATTACACTTTTTGAGATTTCCACATTTTCATTTCCTTTTCTTGGTTTTTAGGAAACCAACCAAACAGACCCTTAGCTCGTTACTATATGACAATACAAAAATTGGAACATGGCCCGAAGGTATACCACCTTGGTTTACATCTCATGGATGTTCAAACAACATGTACCCATTTTATTACTTGAAGTACCCAAGTTTTTGTAGTGCCCTTAGCATAACCCCAAATTTAGTAGTTTATGTTTGTGATTTGTGTTTCCTTAATTCTTCTTATTTACCTAAGTCAGAATATCCTTATCCTCATCTTATACACGATTCTTGCTAAATAATATGCATAAATTTATTAAGGTTCTCATCCTTCTTCCGTAGTACTGTAAACTGGATTCATGAAGCAAAGAACAAACAAATTCATTAGCTGCTAACTTTGATTACTCTTATTATAGGATGATGTTGCATCTGATTGTCCAAACCTTGATTCCTGTCAAGATGTGAGCTTCAAAAGCTTAGCATATTTCATTATGGCCCCAACTCTTTGCTACCAGGTACTCTTCTTATTGTAAACTGTTGCTTGGTTGATACCATTTGCTTTGATTTTGTGAAGTTGGAGATATCCCACTGAGTGCTTTAGGCAAAAATCTGGAATTGATAGTTGTATAACACCTTGTCCAGCTGTTTAATTTGACCACCTGTAACCCCTTTTCTTTCCATAGTTCAAAACTCAAACCTCTTCAGCATTGCTTTGGAGCTGTACAAGATAAAAAGGCTGGTATGTAGCATTAATAGTTCAACGTCGAAAAAGATACCCTGTCTAAGAGAATGCCTATAAAAATGCAAGTGCAGTACAATATAACCAACTTTGATCAGGTTAGAGAATGGAAAAATCCAATGTGTCTCGGCTATCATCATACATAAGTAGATAACCTGCCCCTTTGATACATAGAGTTATTTAAAACTGTGTTAAGGTTGCTAGAAGACATGGTTTCCAAGAAGAGGGGGTTTGTGAGTATTAAATTTCTGTACCTTTGTACCTATTTTTGGCACCACCAACGTCATTTTTCTTCAGAATGCATCCTGATATTTAGTAGTTCTTTATGTTCTATGTAGCCCAGCTATCCTCGTACAACATGCATAAGAAAAGGTTGGGTGATACGTCAACTTGTTAAGGCAATTATATTCACAGGAATTATGGGCTTCATCATCGAGCAGGTAACCAGTATACATATTTTCTTTGAAAAGCTCAGTAATGTTAATATGATTTAATTGGATTATGCTTGCAGTATATCAATCCAATTGTACAGAACTCTCAACACCCGCTGAAAGGCAATTTATTAAATGCTATTGAGAGAGTCTTGAAGCTATCAGTGCCTACTTTGTATGTGTGGCTTTGCATGTTCTATTGCTTTTTTCATCTGTGGTAAGTTACTCTCCCCTTTTCATCTGAAGGCAGTTTAATTCATATGGATTTATTGAATTTATATATTTTCTTTGCAAATAAATCGTAGTACTTTTTCAAGGGGAAAAACACAGAAAAAATTGCGCGTGGGACTTCTTTGAACTTGTTGAGGCCATGCTGCATCTTTTAGTACCTAAAAATTTTCTTTCTAACTA